AATTAAATGAATCACCTTTAAATAGATTTCACACACACACAAAATATTAGGTCATGGAACAAAGAAAATATAAATCAGAAGACTGTCTTTTGCTGCAATTCCATTTGAAACATTTCTTTCTAAACTGATATTATCTGAAAATCATTTTAATAAAAAGGCTCCAGAAATAAAATAGATCTTCCTACTACATGGCTCTATACATTCTAAGATCATTTTCATGACTAACATAACTACCTTTCTTCAACACTAATAACTAATTCTTTATTTTACTTACCTATTATTGATAGTTAAATAAAGAATGACTCCTTAAATATTATGTCCTTAAAGTTGTATTCTCAAATGACTGAATCGTGATTGGTTTCAATTATTCAAGTGTTCCAGGATATGCAAAAAAACTGCAAATTAGCATAAATTGCATAATTAATTGTGTCAATGTTAAAATTCACTCGCTCTCAATTTATATAGAAAAGACATATCTAAATAGAAAATTTTAAACAAGCAAGAATTAAATATTTTACATACAGTAATAAGTCTAGAAAAATGTTATTTTAAAGGGTTTTTAATGTAATTGTGAAAGAGGCTATGTTGAATTATATTTTTCTTATAAGTTCTTAACAACCAGATTCATTAAAGTTGCTTAGAAGACATTCTGAAAAATCTTTAATACTTGCATATATCTGCACAGGTGCATAAAGCAATAATTGTAAAAATTTTAAGATCTACTTGTAAAGTAGAGATTACATTCAAAAAGATAATTAAACTTGTTTTTGATAAATTTCAGCAGTTTTATGAAATGGTAAGATTAGAGGGTTTTTTTCTATTATATTCAGTTAACAAAAACAGCTTAACACAAAAATGAGTTTTTGTCAACATTTTTTTTTTTATACAGGAACAAATTTATAGATAATTAGTCCCTTTAAAGTTTGGATTCATATATTAAAGTGAGGTTGGCACAAAGTTTAAAGAGAAAGGCTTATTATATGAGAAATTTTTTATTGTGCCAATGCAAACATTCTAAATAAGCTATATTTTTAGGAGGGGAAGAGAAAATGAGAGGTGGGAAAAAGAAAAGTTGTGGTTACAATATAAGAAAAGTTTTCAGATAACCTCCTCACATATACCCAAATTGCATTGAATCTAGTTTATTTTAGTCTAGCAGGAGCAAGAATTGAAGTAAAAAAGATAACAGAAACAATCTTTCATAACACATTATTCTATAATAAAATAAATGACCAAAGCATATTAGTATAAGTATCTAAAACTCCAAGTGAAAATCAACACCCATAACCAGAACAAAGCATTTCAATCTGGTCCTACTGTGTGAAAATTTTCTGCCTAGTCTCAGTCATGAATCAAAAGAGACATGATCACCCAAGTGTTTATCACATATGGCACTTAACTGACTGGCTGAATCTATGATAAACATTTATGTCAGTTAAATGGATTAGTAAAAACTCCAAATTGTGGTTAAATTTATTATATTAAAAAGCAGCATTTTGTTGTAGATATAAATTCTGCTATATGTTGACCTACCAGGCAACTTTTTTTATTTTATTCAGTAATGAAAAGAATAAAAATCTTATTGTTAAAAAACATCATTTGAACAAGAACCTAATGAAGAAAAACAAGACTTATAAAGAAAAATAGCAGAATCCAGTTCCCTTTATACTGAAAGACAAGGCAAGTCCTTCAGAAATTCTAATTATCTAGAAAATCTTTTTTTTTTTTTTTTAGAGAGAGAGAGAGAGAGAGAGAGAGAGAGAACATAATACTCTCTGGTGCTAAAAACAATAGATTCACCATGTTAATCAAGGCTGCAATGTATGGCTATCAGAATGTGGTCAACCAATTAGAATTTTCGAGAGAAAAAATAAAGGAACCGATGACATCAACCTTATACACATTTATAACAAAGAAAAAAAAAGATTTTATTATTACTTATTTTAATGTTATCAACTCCTTGGTTGGTTTCATTTTCATCTAGTATCCCTTATAAGGAAACTGCTAATATTACCATTAGCTAAATTGCTTAAGTTGTTGCTTTCATGAAAAGAAATAATTTAATTTATTATTATGCTTTCAATAGTTTATGGAATGATAGATAACAAGAATTAATGAATTTGACTTAAAGTAAATCCTTCATTTTGTAGTCTGTATATTTTAATTGCCATATTCTTCAACCATCTTCAAGCAAAATTAACATAAAAATTATTCAACGGTACATACTATTTCATCATTCAAAATGAAGTGGTCAAGAAAAAAGATCAACTTTGACAATATAGCAATAAAAAGATTAACCAAAATACATACATGAGAAGACAATATAAACAAATAAAAACAGGTAAAAACAAAGAAAAGAAAAGAAAATAAAGCAGCTTTTCTGCTCATGATTTTTTTTCAAACTTTATAACAAAGGGCATTTAAAAGAAAAATCTATACCCTAATTCCTTGTATGCAAGAATCATTCAGCCATCACTATCACCAAAAATCACAAATGTAATAATAGTGACAAATTAACCAAAATTAGTCTGAATTAAGATAAATGTCAAATATAATTATTCTACAAAAATGATAATTCTAATGCTGAAACTTTTTTTTTTATTCCTTTGGGTGCGCTATCACTCATGAGCTTCAGATAAGCAGTCTTAACAAAAAAAAAAAAAAAAAATCCCTGCCCATCTAATCCTTGTCTGACCCAAAAATGTTTCCCTCGAAAACAACCAAAGCATTTCCCATGACCCCTTTTTAATTGAGGTAAAAAAAATTCCCAGTCTGTTTGGGGAAAGAGTGCCACCTGATATAGAAGTAGTTCAGTCAATGGCAAAGAATTTCTGCCTATTAGACAACTGACAAATCTTTCAATAATCAGATAATGTTTAGTTTTTGTTTGCTTTATTTTTTTTTATTATTATTCAAGTCACACACAGCAGAAGTCATCCAGAAAAGTATAAACAGGAAAAAACAAATAACGTCACTCATTAAACAAATATCTTGAAGTTGTTTCCTTGTTTTGTAGATGCATTAGTTTAAAAACATTTAAATGCAAAAGAAAATTTCTGAAATGAATCAACATTTGATTTAAAATTAAAAAAATGGTGAGGAGTATTTTACATTTTTGTTCCCATTATATACTTTGTAGAAAGATTTTTCATTATGTCAATCAACACAAATTTTGAACAAATATTGGAGGATTGGGATGCAGGTAGTTGCAGATAAGACAGGGAGGAGGGCAATGTCTGAAATCATTATAATAATACTCAGGAAGAGAAGAAATATATACAAAAAATCTATAGGTTTAAGTTTCCCTGAAGTATTAACTGACTAATATCTATCTTATTTGTTTACATTTATTCTTATTTCAACAAGAACATTTTCAGATCATCTTCCAGTGACATGTTATAGATGAATAACCCAGTTTTTACAAAAAGCATGAAAAAGAACATTATTTTGGACATTCCAATTTAAACAGAGCAAGGAGAAAAAGAGCTTAAGTCTGAATAAACTGAAACCAAGAATGGTCACAAATATGAAACCACACTGTCATCAGAAGATGATCACAGATCAAGTTGACCAAAATCAAAACATAATATTCATCCTAATAAATTAAGAAATATTTTATATAAAAAGAAGAATCATGGTTTTGCATCAAAACATTGGTACTGCAACAAAACATGCAAAAAATAATAAATAAAAAATAAATTAAAAACTTAAGATTACAGAATTAATAACCAATGACAAGTAAGGTTTTATATATCTGTCCAAAAGTAGTTGTAATAAGACGCAGGTATAAATCAATAGTATAATATTTGGAGATATAATGATGAAAAATTGAGCCGTTATTGGTCAGTGCTTACAACTTATGTTTAAAGAGTGGAAAAAAAAATTATGAAACATATCAAAGTGAAGTGATACAAAAAAATAATCTATTGAGAAATAACTTTTTAATGCCTGATTCTTCTGCCAAAAACTCTAAATCATATAGCAAATTGTTTTTAAAAGTAAAAGAGAAGTCTACAACTCTGCTACATGATAAATTAAAGCAAAAATATGCTACTTATGAGCTGAACAAAAGTTATTTTTAAAAAAAAGAAAAAGGTAAATAAATAAACCTTAATTTTTCAGATAGAAATAGTTTCTCATTATACAAAAGTACCAGAATTATAGTATCTGGTTCAATTTCATACAAAAGGGAAGAGTACATAGAAGAGAAAATTATAAGCTCAGAAGAAAAAAAAAAAAAATCTATTTCAGGAGTATATTTTCTGAAAAATATTTTACATTTAACATTTTTCCACCATTTTATAGGTGACAGATAAAGACTTTAAACAGACAAATTTTATTTCTCCTTTTTATAAGTGTCCTTCCTTTCTATTTGAACTTTTTCACATTTTTGTAACTGTCTATTGTATTTTTCTTAAAAAAATAAAAAAATACATAGATTTGCATACAAGACAAAGCATTATGTCACCGATTGAAGGAATAATATGTAGAATAAGTGGCTGGGTGACAGTTCTTACTTTGCATTTTTCCACCCCTTCATTGCAACATATAGAAATGGATCAGTAGTGTAAGACAGGAATTGGGGAAGGGGCAGAAAAAAGAAGTAGAAATTGTCTCAGCTTGGACCACAAAAGAGGCATTTCTTTAAAATTTAAAAAGAAAAACCACTGCCAAAACCTAAAAAGTTAACTTGTATATTCATTCTAATGCTAGCACAGAATAGTCAAAGACAGCTCAAACTAGCAAAAGAAAAAAAGTTTCAGATGGTAGTTTAAGCAACAGATGGGTAGGAGATGGCTAGGGTTCATAGAGAAAAAAAAAAAAAAAAGAAAAATAAAGAACCAGTGCTGCATTTGAATTCAAAATCTCAATATAAAACATCTTTTGTTTTGCTTTGTTTATTAAATGAAATGCAGAGAATTGTTTATCATTGTTGCTACTGTTAATGGTTACTTAGGTAATAAGTTTAATGAATACAGAAAATGTTCAGCCTCTACTGGTTAGACATCAACACATTCAGGGCTGACCTTAGGATGGACCAGGAGGTGGTCAGCTGCCTGCTCCACATCCCAATTACATTTCATGAGAGCCTCTTTGCAGCGGTTCACATCGGCCAAACCTGTACTTATAAGCTGCTTCAGTTTAATGTACTTGATAGCGCTTTCAATATTCCATTTGGTCTCTTCTAGTGCTTGTCGACAGTCTACCTCAGAAACCTGCAACCAAAAGAGGAAAAAATAAAAATGTATAAAATTGAAATTAGTTGTTCAAAACAGAAAAAATTTTTTTTGAATTTATTTGCATGTTTAAAACAAATGCCACCAAACATGTTTTATTAAACATCAATAAAGTTTTATAATAATAATAATCAATGCCATTGTGTATGTAAATCTGTTTTTCTTAGATCTTCAATAACATGTACAAATTCTTGGACAATGAAACATTGTTTACATTTATGACTAAGATGGAGGAAAGTTAAAGAAAATAAAATAAATAAATTTCCTTTAAAAATTTGATCAAATAATATGCAGATATAAACTGAAAGTAAAGAAGTTCATTTTATAATATAACCTTTAATACTAAGAAATTCTAACTGAAGAAAAATCACAATGAAACCAACTATAAGTTAAAAGACGTTTCCACCTATCTATTATAGTTATTTCAAATTTGATGTTGCAAAATGTATTTTTGGCCAAGAGGAAGCTTTAATAAAGAAAATTTGAGTTTTAACCAAGCAAAATTATAATAGAGAAAAATTTGGTACTCATTTCAAACAAAAATGAGCAATGTTATTGAGTCATAAAAACTTTAGAAGAAATCATGTAGACTAACATTCAACAAATATATAATTTTGTATCAAGATTATATGGACTGAATCCATAGAGAAAAATTATTAAAGTTCAATAGATACACTGAAACAAAAAAGTATCGAAATATATCAATAGGAAAAGAGTGATAAGTGAAAATAGTGAGCACACTGTAGATAAAGGGAAATAACCCAGAACTTGAAGAGATTTATAAAATTTTAGATTTCACTACACTATCAAAGAAATTGCAACATCCTGAATGTGTTTTACTTCGCTAAGATACAGGTAATAAATATGCACACTAGTTCCAAACTAAGGAGCATCAACAATACTCACACCCTACACAAATACACTGTAAATCTAACTTGACCATTTATATATATAATAAAAAAAAAAAAAAAAATAGCATTTATAAGTTGATCCATGAGGTGAATATTGCTGTCACATCTAGCCTGGTGCTTCTGCTATGAACTTAGATATACTTGATAAAATCCAAGAGTATCGGCAATGTTAATGGTCCTGACCTGACATCTCAGCTTCAGTCACTTTCTTGTTCCTTTTCTATATTTCATGGTAATTGTTCTGATGAGATCTCAACCTTTGATATCTCGACTTTACAAATTTAAGCACTCTACTAGATTGACAGCTAGGTTTCCTCATTTTACAGTTGAAATTGCTACATGTATTCATAAGTTCTATTCTAATAGCTTCTTTCACTTCTTACTTTGGGAATCTCTTCCAGCTTCTTACTTTCCAGTCAACTTTGATCTTCAAAAATTTAAATGAAATGTCACTTGTTATCTTTTGTCCTTTTATTATTCTTCCTTCATGATGTTTTACTTTTTTCACATTCTTTCACACTCAGTAACCCCTTGTGACTTAGTAGCTTTATTGCCTTGCTTGGAGTGAAATAAAAAAAAAAAAAAAGAAGCAAACCAGCATATGATTATATAATATAGATATTGAATAGGTTATTCCACTCCTATTGTACTTTTTGATACAATACAAGAGCTGTGGTGGGTAAGCAACTTGCCAAGCATTATTCTAGCATGTTCCATACATGTTCAATGGAGGAAAAAAAAAATTGATCAAAATATCTACTACCCTATTCTTTTTGGGTGTGGGTAATCTTACCTCACCACAACTTCTTGTCTTTTACTCTAACTAAATTTTTCCCTATTTACCATCTGTTTTTGTCCTTTGTTTTACCACCTGTTCATTTAACCTTGTTAAGTAGGTTACTCACTGCTTTCCTTTGCTTCTCTTGCCTTCAGTGTGTCCTATGAGTTAAAATTCCCCAAGCCTTTTTTGCTTATTGTGTGTCTCAGAAATTTCAGCTGTCTCTTAACAGTTTCCAGAGTTGTAAGTTAATGTTATGCCAAAAACTATTTCAGTTCTTTTTTTTTTTTTTTTTATGTGAACAATCTTCAATTATCAATTACTCGGGTTCATACTTCTATCCCCAATGTGTTATCCTACATTGCTTCTTTGCAAACATACATACCTCATTACAAAATAATTTACGTATAGCTTCTATTTCCTCGCAGTTCTTCTTCCTAAGGAAAAAAAAAAAAACATTTTGTTTTACATTTGATAAAAATATATAACAAAAAAATTGATATTAAAACATTCATATTAAGCAGAATGAAGATTTTTGAATGCAAGAAAATAGTTAAATTTTCTAAGTTGAAATTATAGGCATATCAAACAAAAAAAGTCACTTTTGATACATAGAAAAACTGAATTGATACATTCCTTTTAATGAGAAATCTGTAATACACATCTACCATAAAATTAATACCAATGACATTTTTGTACAAAATTTTAGATATAAATAAACTCATTTTACTCATTAAAAAAAAAAAAAAAATCTTAAAAAATTGGTATTTAAATTAAGATAAATTTTATAAAAATTTAGGTTTATAAAAATAAGAAAAATATGAACATCTTAAAAAAAAAAAAAAAAAAATATTCAAGTTAGTTGTTCCAAAGGGAAATCACAATTTTATAACCCATAATTTCAAATTATATTGTAGTTTCATTATAAAAAAAAAAAAAAAATCATTGGTTGCAAAATAAATGCTCTTATTTTTCTATAAAGGATATGAAAATTTGAGACAGCCATTATTTAAGATATATCACCTATTTCTTCAAAGATCAAACATTAACAAGTTTTCTGTAACTTCCTTATAAGTATATCATCTTATACTTGGTTGTTTCACAATTATTTGCATGCATATTCAATATACCTTATAAATTTATTTATTCAGTTGTTCAGATTGCATCATTGAAGTAGAATTTAAGCATAAGATTTAAATAAAGATTTTAAAATATTAGATGGCCCATTTTTTCCAGAAAATCTGAAGTACTGCAATATGCAAATATTGATTTCTGTCTTGAATTTCTAATATTTTACTTGCTTCAGATTTAAATCCAGATTGCTTCATTTCCATAAGTAATTAATAACAAATTTCTAAAAGAAACAATTTCAAATTTTGAAAATAACAAAAGAAAATTAGTTTGCAAATTATGGACATATATGATCAGCAATCAAAAATTTGGATAATATCCATTCACTAAGCATTTCAATTTACTTCACTTATCACTTAATTGTTAGAGAATTGATGGTTTACAGGTATTCTAACAGGAGATCACTACTAATTAGGTTCTTATTAAACACTCAAAACAAGGAAAAAATATTCTGAATAAACTCTTATTTTTAATTTTCTTACATGACAAGTATCAAAATATATGAATGAACATGAGAAAAATTAAGTATACAAATATAAAAAAGCCAACAAAGACAAGGTGTAACAGATTATAGGAGATAAAAAGGTGAATATCTTTTATAGATTGCAATACAATTAGCCAATTGTCAGAACAAATGCAAATAAAGAAGAGGGAGAAAAGCATACAACATTCTTTAAAACAGCATAATATTATTATTATTATTATCCAGTAAATGAATACAACTAAAATTTTCAAAGTAAAAATATTATTGCATCCAAACATTACAGAACAATGCTTTCTATGATAGTTCTTGTCTTCAGCAACTTTTATTGTAAGTCACATTTTTGTTTTCTTTTTAGTGAAATATGCCAACCCTTTTTAGAGGGCTAGAAACTAAATGTGCTATTTATATAGGTACCTCCAACAATTCACTGAAAAAAAGAGCATACATGATGAAAAAGGCCTCAAACTTGATAAAAAAAAACAAAAAAAAAAACAATGTTTTATTGTCAAAATCTTTTATCATTAAGAGGAAAGACCAAAGTATTTTTTGATTATTTTATTAAATTTTTTAATACTTTCTAGCACATTCAAAATTTTTGGTTAAAAATCTTATTTTCTTGAGTCAGCAAAGATTAAATAGGAAATTTTAGCACCTATTTGTACTATGGGGAAAAAATACCCACTGACTTCGAAATTCTTGCAAAAATCAAATGAATGATGAAAGTTTCAGAACTTATTCAAATATGAATGTAATTTTAGAAACTTCTTTTATTCTTTAAGAAAATCTTGGTAGAAATTTTTTTAATCTGTTACCCCCACCCTTATTTAATCAATGAAATCTCCAGAAATTAATTTATATCCTTCTGCATATTTATATTAGTTAAAAGCAGGTTTTCTTGGAAAACAAATTCTTTTTTTTTTTTTCTTTTTTAAACTATTACTCATTTACAGAAAATTTGCTCTGAATCAAAATAAAAAATACAATCAAAATAAGACATTATTTAATTAGAAAAACCTTTGTTTTTATAAATATATTAAAAGCACTATTTTCTTAAGAAAAAAAAAATTCAATGAATAATGAATTTTTACAAGATTTGTTTTAATTTTTTTTTTACATTTTAATTAGAATAACTTATTTTTTAATCTTTTAAAATTCTCTCTTAATTTGTCCTTTTAGATAATATTAAGTAAAAACTATATTTACTAATCATAAATTGAAAAGCTTAGTACAAATCACCCACCAATATTTTTAAAAGAATTTTGAAATTTATGTGTATAAATGTGTAAATTTTCTGTGTACAGTCAATACACATTAGAAAATAAAACCAATAACTACAGTAAATTTGCAGGCAAAAATTCAATAAAACATTAGATTATAGAGAATATTTTCTTAAATTTTTAAGATTGCTGAATACTTAAATATTATATATAAAAAGGCGCTCACATTAATTCAATTACTTTATTAAAGCCCCTATAAACAATATTAGATAAATTTCAATGTGTCATCAAGCTGTCAAACCTGTGAACACCTTTTAAACTTAAAGTAAATAAGTTGTATCGGATCTTAAATAAAATTTCAGAAATGTATATTTTTGAAAGATTTTTAATAGAGAAAATTACATGACTAAAAAAGAACACCAATCAGTTATTTTAGCAAAAAACTCCTTCCAGTCAATTTAAATTAGTTTTAAATTAGTTTTTGAAATAAAACAAAATATTTTACTTATTGGAAATATTAAATTTATTTTATTAGCTTGAAATTAAAACTAAAATAAAAGCCTCATGAGTTTTCATTTTTAAAAATTCATTTTAAACTTTAGGTATCATCTTTTTTTCTTTTTGGAGGTACCTATATTTATACATTATATGAGAGAGAGAGAGAGAGTAGTTAACCTATAGGAATAAAGAAACATTTGTAGTAGATAGCAGGTCCTATGAAAAAAAAAAAAAAAAAAAAAAAACATTTCTACTATTGTGTACATACAAGATTCAAAATATACTGTAAATTCTGAAATGACCACTAATAGGATATAAAATCAATAGTTTTTCGTGAATTGACTTAATCCAATAAAATCTATATTAGAAATGTGTCACAGATGAAAGATTTATTTACTGATGAGAAATCCCCAATTTATATATGTGGCTGCATCATTAACAATTAATCCAAGTTATATTCACTATGTGTTTGTGTGTGTGAGAGAGAGAGAGAGACAATAATGCAGTAGAAGGACATTTCTATAGATTTTAATATCATTAAAAGTTTGGTTTTTTTTTTGGGGTTTTTTAACTACAGGTACAAGGCTATTTATCCTATTTCCAGAAAATTAATGATTTTCTAAACTGGTAGCTTCCTGTTTTGTAGGAATGACCACAGATTTGTTACAAAATTGACACCTATTGATAAAAGAAAATAAATTATTCATTCACCAGTTTAATCAATTTTCATAAAATTTATATTATAAAAAAAAGAATTGGGAAAAATTGATACTAAAATTTTCTTCTATACAGAAACATTTGTTTATGAAATTTGATTAAACATAGAAAATTCAATTGGAAAAACTTCTGAAATTCAACTAATTAATAAAATTAATTGTTTACCAAATTTCTGAAGATTAAGTACATTTCCATTATTTAATTTTATGACTTCTCAATAAATATCAATCTGACCCAAAACATTTATATTTTAAGATAAATCACTGAACAAGTCAACTCAATTTAAATTTGTTCCGAAATTAGCCTTATGAGGCTGAATTAATGCTCCAAACTTAAAACTGCAATATAAACTAAAATTATTCTGACTCTTGTATGTAAAATGAAAATACAGACTTATGTGTGTGTGTGTGTATATATAAAGTTTTTTTATTAAATTAAAAAAAAAAATATGAAAACAGAAAATTGGCAGGACATATTTGCAAAGATAAGCCTGGAGTGTTGACCATTAAATTCCAATACCTGTACTTGTCACCCCAAAGATGGAATTAGTGGATTAATGATGCTGATTAAGCAATTCCTATTTTCAGGTGAATTAATCTGTATATATTAAAAACAGCTTTGTTATTTTTCATTCTAAATTTAATGATTTTAATTACATTAATAAAAGATCTGACTTTAAGCAAATTTCTTTTAAATTTTACTTTATTTTAAGTATATATTAGGTCTTGTTCAAAAATACTGGAAAATCTTGAAATCCAAGTCACTTAAACTTGATGGATAAATAGTCTGGTACTTGTAATAAACTTCAATTCTTGAACATTATCTAAAAAAACGACCCTAACTAAATTATGCCTTTATTTGCATAAAGCATATGTTTTCATGCCCTTCAATCATAAGATATGATTTGAATAAAAAAAATAAAAAAATAGTTTTATCTTTTTGTTTTTCTTTTTAAGCACACTGTTGAATTAAAAAATCATTAAGTTATCTATTATTCACTGTCCCTTACCAAAAAAATTACTGTGCATGAATATGAATGATATAAAAGAATGTTAATTGCTACCCTATAATAAAAAAAAAAAGTGTCCTTTTGCTAAAAGTTGGTTCCTATCAATAAATATTCATATAAACATGTGTTAATAGCTTGAACAGATAAAACAAGATTGCAAGACAATTAAGAAAAAATACATTTCCTGGAATATTTAAGAGAAAGCTATCAGAATTCAAAGCCAATAAAATATGTAAGGGAAATAAACAATATCAATACAAATATTTTCAAAGAAATGATGTTTCCATGGAAAAACATTTAGAATATTTTAATTAGAGGACATTGCCCATTAAGAAAATCAGAGTAGGCAACTAAATGCCATCTTAATTTCAAAACTATAAT